TACAGCTCTCACGGGCTGTAAGGTGCTGGGTGGAGTCTGACATGCACTATTCGGAGCTGAGGGTCAATTATGCTCTGAAAAGCTCAAGCTTTTTTTTTTTTTTTTTTTAAATTTATATTTTAGGCACAGCCTGGCCTTGTTCAGTTCAGAATATGAATAGATTTCAATATGTTTGTTTTTCTTTGGGTATCAAAATATAGCGGTTATTGTATCTGGACACATTAATGACATTCAGTTGCTTCCTGGTAACTGCTCTATTAATGTCTGTCAGCATGGCACCTTCTCTGCCCATAACCTCCTTGCAGACAAGACAGCTTTCCTAGCAGAATGGAGACACTTAAAGAAAAATTGCTTGTACAAAAAAAATGAAAAAAGCAAAATGTCAGGATGTTCCCAGATGAGATGCCCTGAGAGATTCATGACGCAGTTGTAGCTGTGAAGAAATGCAGATGTGACAGGTGGCTGACAGTTAGGTACTTTGTCTATAATCCCTCTGAACTAGTGGCAGGCACCTTCTTGAAGACAGTGATTACCATGAGAAGCCTCTCCCAAAAAGTGGTACTTGCAGTAACTACCATAAGATGATATGCAGGATGCCTGAATCCTATTAGTTTCAGAGGACACAAACCTTAGGTCAAGACTTATGGAATGATAATAATAATAACAACAACAACAATAACAACAACAATAATAATGGATTAATATAATAATAAAATACACCAGAGAGTCTGAATAAAATAGATTCCAGAGCCTGGAGCTGGTTTGCTGCATTAAGTGGGCAAACTGCATTTGCTAAACCATTTGGTAAAATGGGCTGAGGCAGCCATTTGAGCTCAAGTAAATCAGGGAGAAGTTGCCTTTGGGTGACTGAAGAGCTGGCTCGAAAGCAGCCATTTGGTTTTCTCTGCCTAGAATACAGATATATTACTCCCTGGGCATCTTTCTGCAGAGAAACTGCTGTGACTCTGTGCCTCCTCTCCAGAAATAAACAGCACGTTACTGGTATCAAGATGGTAGCCACCTTCTAGACATGTAGCCATTATTTTTCTTGGATCGCAGAAATGATATATCCGAGGTAAAATAAATATATAAAGTTGTTCGCAAAAATGTTTTTGCCTGAATAATTAATTCCTCAGCAAATTTTCCCATAATAAAACATGTCCTAATGAGCTATCAGAAGGAGAGAAAATTCATCACTTACCTCACAAATATCAACTTGAGAGCACTGCTCATGTCAGATGGCATAATTAATGACTTGAGAGGGAGCACGGAGCAGCACAGCCAAAACCACAGTCCCCATCAGTCATTCCACATCAGTCCAACTCACACAGTGTTACCTGATCTACAGAGGATTAGCCAGGTGACTAGAAGGAGATATGGGGCTGAAGGGAATACAGGCAAATACGGTATATCTGATCTTGATTTATTCAGGCTGGGTTTCTACTTATCACTGAGGTGGCAATGGCAGTTGCTCCTGCAGCCTGCTTTTCTTTTTTTGTGAGTTTTTTTTCCAAACAACTAGAATTTACAAACTTTGGACTTCACCCTCCCTGATGCTGAGCATGTCATCTTCAATTCCATGTCAGCACACAGTCCTCTTGGGGTTTCTTCCCTACAGAAGATGGGAGTTCAATTCCTGTGCAGAAAGCCCAGGTGGGTGCCCTGGAGCTGGGCAAGCCCCCTCTGAGCTGCAGGCAGGAGGTCTGGGATGTTGTGTTCAAGATGCTGTTGGTCATGGTGGGGCTGCAGTAGGAAGACATCTGTACTGTGCTCCTTGTGCTGGCACCACCAGAGCTGGGGGAACGTGCAGGCTGCTCTCATCACTTGTCCACTTCTCTCTGTCCTGGGCAATTGCAAGCACTACCCCACTGGCTTCCTCCACAGTGCAAAAGGGACCAAATGCTGGCTACATGTCTGTTCCAGTGGTAACCCCCTCCTAAAGATGTTTACAGAAGCCAATGTATGGGGGGATGCTGTGGAGGAACAGCTCTCCCTGCTTGGATAGCAAAGCTGAGACAGCAGGCTAGCAATGTCAGCTGCTGTAACGAGAACCTGCAATGGCCATAGTGGGTCAGACAATGGACCATCTTGCCTGGGAACCCATCTCCAAGGATGGTGGCACCACCACATAGCAGATACTTGGTTTAGGGAAGAATGGACGATTCTGGAACGTGCAGAGTGATCAGTTTGTGGCTCTACTTTCTCAGCAACCTGCTGCTCAGGGACTTCCTGAGCTGAAGGTTACTTCCCCAGCTGCATGTTTAGCAGCCCTTGATGGGATTTTTTCCATTAGTTTCTCTAATCTGTTTTTGAACCGGGGTTTATTTTTGGCCTCTGCAGTGTCCTGTGACGAGTGCCACAGAATAATTACGTGCTGTGTGAAATATGTGCGTCTTTTCCTCTGTTTTTAAATTTCTGCCTGACCTGTATATTTGATGTCCTCCATTCCCTGTGATATGAGAAAGAATGAATAATCATTCACCTTGCCTTGTGTCTTTCTCCTCCAGTTTCACCATTTTAAGGAAACTAAGCCTATTTAAGTTGTCTTTGTAAAACACCATCAAATTTACTCCACTAAAACAGCTGTATATTTCAGAGACCATGTTCCAGCCCAGAGTAATATTTTTTTTTTTTTTTTTTTTTTTTTGATTTTCCCAGAGAGAAAACAAGAAAAAAGTAATATTTTTTTTTTTTTTTTTTTTTTTTAGATTTACATGAGAGAAGAGTATGAGAAATCCAGGCAGCTGCAAAAGGTGAGATGGCTGACAGGTTTGACTTCTACCTCTTTGCTCACTCCAGCGTGTGGTCGCTCCATCTGACCAAGGACTGTGCTTCAGCAGCTGTCAGCCTCCTACGTGCAGCTGTTTTACATGTCTGTTAACATTTGCAATTGCCTGCCTGTATTTTCTGAAACTCTCCAATAAATGCTCACTTGAGTTTGTTCATCAGGAGAGACAACTTGATATGCACTACAAGTGACCCTCATGTTTCACCTCCACAATAACCCTCCTGCAACAGAGCCCTGTGGTTGCTGGTGGTAAGATCTGAGCATTGGGCTTGCCTGAGGCAAAGCGCCCTTGGCATCTGCTGGCCCCTTCTGTGGGCCCCAGTGTAAGCAATAATTGAGCTTTTATGTTGGTGTTGACCTCCCAAGTTAACTTCAGAAAACATTATCTGGCAAATCTGATGTGCCAAGTTTCAAAGAAAATAGTTTTCCAGCTCAGTCCGGGTCTGTTTTTCCTCCAGATAAAGGACAAAACCTTTTGGGCATCCAGCACTTCTTGGAAGCAAGGTTAAGAGCAATAAACTTTCCTCCTTACTACCAGACTGAAACATCAGCAAAATCCTTTCTGTTAGGAGTGCACGTCTATCCCCACAGGGTCAGGTCAGCGCTCTATAACTCACCTGGCAAAACTGAAATACAATTTTTGATGATCAGAGTTGGGTAAGGATCAGAAAAATGACCTGACACATTTCATATATACTGACAAAAGTCTTTATTCAAAAAGCAGGATCTGCCCCCAAAATACTTTCCCAGTATGGATAAAGCAAGATAATATGCATTACAAATGATTTACAATGAAGCTGGATTAATGTATTTTCTGAGAATCCCCCCAGTGCCTGCCTCAGGACTGTATCTGTAACCTCTTAATAGCATAGAAAAATAATTATTTTATTGCCCAATGAAAAGGCAAGTCTGAAATCCCATGTGCAGTATATTTGGGGTCTCAGTCCCTCATCTGCTCCTCTAAACACTACCCAGGAAGCGGCACAGTGCCTAAAATGAGCAGAAACAACCCTGGGATTAAGAAGAGATCTGAGGCCTGTGGTTGATCTCAGACTGGATATGGCTAGGAAGTTGGATTAGGAAATGACTACCTGGAACTGGAGATGAATTGTGGTGTCTTGTGTTGGAAAGAGGATTCACGTTTAGATGGAAAAGTGAAATTGGGATTGAGGGGAAACTCTAACTTGGGGTCAGTTTAATTTGGATTTTTGTGCTGAGGGGGTGGAACTCAGCACAAATCACATTCCTCTGTCTGATGCCTTTTTCTTTCTTGCATCCTGGCCATGCAGTTTTGGGCCCTGCAGCTGAGGGGATGCTCTGATGTCTTTCCAAGAGCAGTTGGGCGCAGGGGGCTGGTCCCTGGCAGTGCAGAGCAGGATGAATGCTCACCCCTGGGAATCAAGTCAGTGGCAACTGACCCTGCCACACATGTACCACTGCTGTGCTGGTCCATTCTCAGCTCGATGTCCAGCTGGAGCTTAGGGTTATTTTCTTTCACCCCTACTCCATCTGCCAGCCAGGAGACAATGCAGGTGATCCTAACCCTGGGCAGCCGGAACTGACACCAAGGTTCAACAAAAGTTACTCCATTTATGGTGCCTCTTGCTGTCACTTGGAATATCTTGTTGGGAGGGTGACCAGCTGGGCTAGGAACAAAACCACTGGGTCTGCAGGTCCCGGGGTGGCTGTGCACCCTGTCCCTTATTGCCACAATCTAAAGTTGGTGGCCAGATTTTTAGAAACTGGGGCCAAAAGTTGTTGAGATCCAGCAGCCAAGATGAAGCTCTTTTTTGTGTTGGTTTTCTGTTGTTTGGTTTTGGTGGGTTTTTTTGTTTGTTTGTTTGTTTGTTTTCAGTGGAGGGGTGTGTGTCATGGCTATCAACATGGGTGACATCAGTGTCCTATGTCATTAGGGGGATACCCCACTGAGAGCCGGTGGTACAGTGGTACCCAGCCCTGCAGGGGAGGCACGGACTGATTTAACGGCCTGGGCGCCAGGGTGTATCAGCAGTCAGATTTTCCCGAAGAAGAAAGATCCCCCTCCAACAGCTCTTCCTCTCTGCTCCCCCCGCAAGCCCCGAAGCCATCAGCAGGGGCAGCTCCGGCCGGGAGAGGCAGCAGCCGTGTCCGGAGGAGGCATTGCATTACATTGCATTGCATTGCATTGCACTGCGCATCCTCCCTCCCCACCCCCTACTGCTGCAGGCTTCCTCCCTTCATCCCTCCATCCTCCCCCTCCCTTCCGCCCCGCATCCCTCCTTCCTGCATCCCTCCCTCCTGCATCCTTCCCTCCTGCATCCCTCCCTCCTGCCTCCCTCCCTACTTCCCTCCCTCTGCCTGCGCAGAGCCGCGGACATGGCGCTCAGCAATTTCCTCTTTGCTCAGTGCATCTGCTACTTCCTGGCCTTCCTCTTCAGCTTCATCGTCGTGGTGCCGCTCTCCGAGAATGGCAACGACTTCCACGGCCGGTGCCTGCTCTTCACCGAGGGCATGTGGCTCAACGCCAACCTGACGGTGGAGAGGCAGCGCTTCACCGTGCAAGAGTGGGGGCCCGAGGCCGCTTGCCGCTTCAGCATCTTCACTGGGCTCCTCTCCCTGCTGCTGGCCACAGTGCAGGCCTGGAGGACCCTCTTCTTCCTCTGCAAAGGGCATGAGGAGTAAGTACCCCTGGGGAGGGCAGGGGGTGCCCATCTCTCCTGCAGGCTGGGGCAAGTGGGAGCAGCCTAGGGGTGAAGCACTGGGCTTTGCACAATCCAGATCATCCTGTTCCCTAGAGGGGTTTGGGGTGAGGCGGTGTATTGCCTGTGTCCGTCTGCACACGCACCATGTACACCCCCACTTGCGTCCAGGGCCCTCTCTGGAGGATGCTCCCCTGCAGAGGTGGGGGGGGGGCTGATTCACCCCGGTGCACCCGCTGTCCTTTTGCAGTCTGGGAGCAACATCTGGCCAGCTCAGCTGCGGTGGGCAGGGAGGGTGCTGGGAGCTGTGGGGTGATGCTGGAGGCTGGGGCTTGCAGGTGCCTCCTGACCATGGTCCCACTGCACGTCCCTGCAAAGAGGGGCCTTTCCCAGATGTAAACCGGGTGCCTGAAAAACCTTGAAACAACATGGTTGTGCGTGAGGGGGGCAGAAGGGAGCAGTTTGGTGGTTCCCCTCTATTTTTATCCAGCTTTTGTGGTGGACATGGTAACTATCGCAGAGAACAACTATTGCTTGGTTACAACATGAGAGCAATGCCGAGTGCTCCCTGCAGCAGCCACAGGGCTGCTCTGGCAGCCGGTTACTGTGCTCAGACAAACCAAGGGATATCAGACCCCAGCAGAAACAGTGAGAGGCTTGGTGGTCTGGGCAGCAGCTCGGGAGCGCTGTGCTCTGTGCTTGGCTCTCCAGTGGCCTGTCCTGCTACCCGGGGTAGAGCCCCTGGCACAGGTAACCCAGCCTGCGGGTGGGTGGCAGGAGCACGTACTGGTGGCTGGCTAGACTAGGAAAGCCATTTTCCCCTGGTTTAGGGACCATGCCAAGGGTAAATCACTGGTGTCCAGGTCTATTTGGATTGGAGGCTTCTTGGGTCAGTGGCTGTTACGCACATCTGGGCTTGTACAACACCCTGATGTGGGTAATATTGGGGACTGGGTTGCAGTGTTGTCTCTCTGGCTCTTTCCGACCACTCTCAAGCTGCTCAATACTAAAGTATGCTATAGCAAGTATAGATCAGAAACTTATTTCCATATTAAAACTTACCTTGGAAGATCTAAATATAACCATGGACTTCTTGATATGTTTAAATTCAGCCTCCTCAGGTGATCAGATAGATATAGAGGATTAATTGAATCCAGATGCTTTTTTTCAGTTTTGGAGTTCAGAACTAGTCAATTTTTGGAAGAAACCAGTGGCAAAACCTTTGTAATAATGACATTTTGATCAGATGTCTGGCCTGCTTCCAAATGTGGCTATTTAGTTTAACACCGTTGGGCAGGCCTCTGAAAATTGTCCCTTTCGGATCGCTGCTGCTGGGTCAGCTCTGGAATAAGTCGGCCTGAGGAAGTCGGGGTTGGCACCCTACGCGCGTTAGCAAGGTGGCCAGTCTTCATGTGCAATGGCTTTGTATGATTGCTGTCAGATGATTAGGACTGGTAAAAATCCTTCTTAGCAGGGTCTCCACACCCCTTGCCTCAGGGACAAGTTCGAGTTGCCTGCATGAGTAGGAAAAGCAAGTGCTGGCTGCTAGCCATGATCTGGGCTTGTGACTTCTCAGCTCAGCCGACAGGTAGAGGTACAACTCAGATACTTCACTACTCGGATTGCAAAGCTACTTCTCCTTGAGTGTAAGCATTTATCATTAGAGGGCATCCACTCAATCTGGCATGTGTAACTTGAAATTCTGATCTAAGCAAGAAAATAGGTGAGGTAGAGAGACAAATTAGCACAGTTCTCTACTAGTATGCCCTGGCCTGAGGAACCTCTAGCACATGGTGATGGTCACTGCTTGCCCAGTGCAAATCAAGTGCAACACCCATCCCTGCTTTGTCAGTGGAAGGTCTGATCCTGGACCTTGGCACCTCTTCTGTGCTGCAGTGTAGGAAGTAGAGGGAGGACTAGAGGTCCCAGGATGGCAATGATCCACTGAACACTCCTGGGAACTGTTCCTTTTCTAGAGCTGTTACTAATTCTGATGTCAACTCTGTTTTTATTCAGTGACAGCTCAAATCTTTTCTGCCTCTCAGGCCAGCATACCATGCTAAGGTGCACCCAGTAGCTATGGCTTTAGTGACACTTGGAATGAAATCTAGGCTAGGTGTGAGATCAGGGCAGGGACAGTGAACATAGAGAACTGTGATTTGCTTGTACCAACTCCATCTGCTATGTGGGTGACTGTGGCACTCTGCAGAGATGAGCTGATCTAGTCCACTAAGTCTAGTAAAGCCAAAGGATAAGAGTAGGATTCACCTCAACGTTCATCTAGAATTCAGGTGTCTTGGCATCCAGCTCCTGCTACAGTCTGTAAAGGCACTTCTGGAAGGTGGTTTATTTCACTTCTTTTCTATCAGTATTGGGATGGGATGACTGTCACTTTGGAGAGAGCCTAGACAGCCCTTCTAAAGCCATGTCAGCCCAGAAACAAACATCCTAACCCCACTGGTAATTGTTTCCTCATCTCATTTTAAATAACTCATTCTGAGGTCACATATGTCTCACCATGTATAACCTGTACAAATTAGGATTGACTAACCCAGAACTTTCCCAGGATTCAAATACCGACTCAAAAAGCCTCTCAGCTTTTCATTTAATGATCCACCAGGGAAAAAAAATTACTGGGTTTTTTTTTGTACTCTGTGGTAGTAGACTCCTTCTATCTTCAACATAATGAGTGTGACACTGGTGGGAAATTCATCATATTCATCCTTACCACCTAACCTGAATAGGATGACTTGCCTCCTGGCGTCGTCAGTCTTTCTCCAACCTAGAGTAGATGCCCAGTTTTGAGATACTGAGACTTTCCAAATACCACCTCAAGCAGTTTCAAGTAGTGAAAAATTTGGTCAGATGAATGAGAAAAGGATTGGAAAGTTTTCATTAACTAGAATTAAGGGGTACAGTTAAGCAGTGAGGTTGGAAGATTAGTAGAGAAATCCCTGGCCTTATGGGACTACTGTAAGCATCCCACCCCCTACCACTCCAAACACAGCACATGCCTAGGGCTGGCCCTGGTTAGGAAGACTTAATGGGGCTGAAGTAAACTGACATTCAGCTGCAGAAATATCATACTGACACCAAACCCAGAGAAGTCCCAGGAGAAGCTGACCTGTTCTGCCTATTGCCCACGAAACTGTGTCCTATGATGGCAGTACTTTGTGTTGCTGTTGTGATTTAACCTGGCAAGCAGCTAAAACAACCACACAGCTGTTACCTCACTCTCCTCTCAGTGGGATGGGGAAGAGAATCAGAAAAAAAAAGCTAAAACTTGTGGCTTGAGACAAAGGCAGTTTAATAGGACAGAAAAGGAAGAGAATAATAATAGTAATAATAATAATAGAATATTCAAAACATAAGCATAATTGCTCACCACCCGTAGACCACTGATGCCCAGCTAGTTCCCAAGCCATGGTCTAAAGTCCCAGCCAGCTTCCCCCACGTTATATACTGAGCATGACACCATATGGTATGGAATATCCCTTTGGCCAGTTTGGGTCAGCTGTCCTGGCCGTGTCCCCTCCCAGCTGCTTCTGCACTGCCAGCCTTCTCGCAGGAGAAGATGAAAAGTCCTTGACTTAGTGTAAACATTGCCTAGCAAAAACCGAAATATCAGTGTATTATCAACTCATCCTAAATTCAAAACATAGCACTATACTTGCTACTAGGAAGAAAATTAACTCTAACCCGGCCGAAACCGGGACAGTTACATTGCTTAAAATGATTATAGCTATCAGTACTGTGTTGTTATATTTTTAGATTCCCTCTCCTAGGCAATTTTTGTCCCAATTATCACTTTAGTCATGAAGTAATTTTAGCTCCAGTTACTATATAATTTGAGCTAATGACATTTATTTTAACAATGGTGATTTTCATCATTACAGCTAATGAAAGCCATGCTATGTATGAACAATCGCCACTTAGTATTTATGATTTAAAGCCCCATCCTCTTATGGTGAAAAAAAAAAATCAAAATCAAAAGCATTTACAAACGAAGATAATGTGACTCAAAATCACAACCCATAGTTTTTCAATGTATTAGGTGTCCTTAATTAAAGCATACATGTTTCAAATGGAAACTGATATCTTTGTGCCCAGCGTATGCTGCTTAGAGAGACTGCTGCTGATGTGTTTCAGCTGTTTATGAGTTACATTTTTCTTCCTTTTTATTGCAGCTCTTTCTTTTATGCCTTCCTGAATCTGCTGATCAGCGCCTTTGTGGTGTTTATCACATTTATTGCTAGCACTATAGTGAGTGTAGGATTTAACATGTGGTGTGATGCAATTACTGAAAAAGGAAGCATGCCAAATAGGTTAGTATTGAAGAATACATTTTCTTCCTTTTTTTTTTTCATATATGCACAAATGAACAGTGATGTTATAAAATGTAGTTATTACATGCAAGGTGAGCAAGGGGGAGAAGGCATCTGTAATGTGGAAATCCAGATTTTTTTCATCTGGAACAAAAAAAAAAGCAAATAATACTTTTTTTTTTTGCATTTAATTCCCCACAAAGAAAAGTACGGTTTACACGGCATTTCATGGTCTCGTTAAGAGTCACGACCGTATGCAAAAGAAATCCATTAGTTTAAAAATTTTCATTTCTAAAGGAGAGCTAGATTTGGAAATGCTGTAAGAATGGGGGGAGTATGGTCTTGTGAGCAGGGCAGGGAACTGGGAGTCAGGGCTCCTGGCTTGCTGTCCTGGCTCTGCCACCGACCCGCTGTGTGACAGCAGGCAAGTCACTCATCCTGCCTGTTCCACAGCGCACCAGCATCCAGAAATTGCTATAAAGATGCTGGCTTCATAGTGGTGCTGTGGAGGCCCTGAGAGCCAAAGAATGGAAAGTGCAAAGTACAGATGGCTGATACTTTCTTACAGTGCACGAAATGTGCAGGTCCTAAAATGGTCTACGATGCTTATGCTCCTTAGAGGACACATGATAAGTTGAGGCAGATTTTTCCTATCAAACAAATAACAACGATGAGACAGGAAAAGGTGACATTTTATGTCATATGATATTGAATAAACGTACTACTTAAACCGTACATTTATGTTGCACATTGTCATATGTTGTAAAATGCCATAGTAAATGTTCTGTTTAGGGCTGCAACGATTAATCGAATTATTCGAATATTCGGTTAAAAATTCAATTACAAAAAAACATCTAATCGAATATTCGGATAAGAACCCAAGATGACCGACAGCACTGAAAAGGAGAGAGAAGAGGCTGCAGAAATCAACCAAGAGATAGAAAGACAACCTCAAAATCCTGGGATTTTTTTCACACCAATAAAAGTCCAAGTTATTTGTAAAATCTGTAGGCAGCCTCTATCTTACCATCAGAGTATCGTCTCCTTGCTGGAGCATCTGAAACAAAAACACCCACACAATACCTTCTTCTGAGGCTTTTCCTGATGAAGTCAAAAGGTAACGGAGGCTCATACACTTTGTTTCATTGAGGGGTGAAGCAACCAAGCTGGGGTGATGCCAGATGTATATATGTGGGAGGCTTGGGGGTAGTGGGACAAGAGGCTTTTAAGTATACTGTTTTCATAATAACTATTAGAGTTCCACTTATGGAAGATTGGTGGTATGACTTACATAATTATACATATTTTTTTTTAAAGAAAGTAATTACATGCCTCTTTTAGACTAGTTTTAGAGAAGATTGGCAAGCAACCTGGTTACTGCAATAACTTAAATATCTTTTGATAGAACATTCTGGTTTGACTGTTTGAAACACATTTAAGATGTTGCTTCATTTTATGTTTGGTTCGTCTGTTTGGAATCTCTGAAATAAATAAATTTTTTTTTTTCCCCCTCCAATCGCCTTCCTTGGGTAGCTGTGAAGAATTACAGGATATAGATCTTGAACTGAACTTAGAAAACTCTGCTTTCTACGACCAGTTTGCTATTGCACAGGTGAGTCAGACTAGGTCATGGTTCTATTCCAGTTCATTTGCCATTTGCTCATTGATCCGGAATTGCTGGAGCTGAACTACCATTCCTCTGAAATCAGCGGGAACATTTCCACTGACTTCACTTGAGTGCTGAATCAGGATGATAGTGATGGGCACATTTGCATTTTAAATCCAAAACAGATAGTTTTGAATGTGGACATGCCAAAACCTGACTCTGCAACTGATCTTGTTACTCATGATGGAAAATTTATTGTTCCTCCAAAGGATGAGCTCTGCAAACGTTGCAACGACCTGGTGTCCCAGAGCTCTTCATTGCTGTTCAGAATAGTGTCTGACCTGCACCAGATCATGGGGCTATTAGCTTTGTCTTCCATGAGTTTGTTTGAGATTGTCTGAGTCAAATAAATATCAGACCATTGAAAATAATTACTGTCATTTAGATAGGGCTGCTTTCTGATGAATCTTTGAGGATTAGACTTCTAAGGCTGTCAGACCTTTCTATTGAATATGTTAGCTCTAAGTCAACAATCAAATTCAGGGATATGAGCACTTGTGCATGTGAGCACATACTAGTTCTGCAAGGAGGATAGCCCCATCCATGCAGGGCTGCACCCATACACACACTTCTTATGTTGTCCTGCACAGGAAGAGGCGCAGAAATATGCCATAAAAGTGACCTTTTTGTATGATGCTAGCCCAAGGCCAAGATGTATTTTGCAGCAGATTTTGCCATTAGCTCCTAATCTGCCAGCTAGTGGGGCGGTAGCAGCAGTAAACCTGTTATCAATCTGCAGCTTTGAGTTCACGGAGATGAAATGTCCATGTCCACCTTGTGATCTCAGGGTGTAGAGTTGGTAATCTATATGCAAGAGAAGGCATTTCTCTGACACAGAGCCATGCCTAAAAAGTCAAGGTCCGTGCACATAGCACTTCAGTTGGAGGAGAGTTAACATATCACGGTATAGAAGGATCAGCCCAAGCTGTTGGATGCGGCTCCCCACACCGATCCACATCCCTCCAGATGTTCCTGGGTAGAGCTAGCCTGCAAGGTGCAGCCTCCAAGCTCTGCAAACACCCAAGTATGAGGAGCCTGGGAGCGTAACAGCTCCAGGAAAACACCGTTTGGCTTCAAAAGCTGAATCCAGTAGTGCCAAAGTGAATCCTGATTGCAACTGTTTGAAGAAAGGACCGAGCAGGGAACAAAATCCTTCATCATTGTCTTTTGATATCTGAGATGTGGTAAGAAGAGTTGGATGGAGGCATGAGAATGGGTCTGTCTATGGAGGGTAAATAAGTTTCTTTGAAACAGTAGAAGAAAAACGCAAGAGTAGACTAGACTTACCGTCTAAAGCAAAAGTTTCCTTATAAGTGCAATAATTTACTGGTGTAGGCTTTATTTATAAGCAGTGGTCGGAATGGAAATATCAAGATTGCTGACAATTTAAGAATTACAAATACAGGCTTTGGGTTAAATCTGGAAGGGAAGAACAGGCAACTTAATTAAAGCTTTGGATATTTGGCACATGTGTATGCGTGTGTACAAACACGTGTACAAATACACGTACCCAGACCCCATCTCTGTCTGCTTTCCTCCATTCAGATGTTTCCAACTCATCAGAATGGCTCTGGGAGTTTCACTGAATTTGGCTAAATCTATGTAGATTCTTTAATATCAAATATGCTGAGAAGACCACAGCAGTAGCAGATATCTGAATGCCTTTAAGACATTTCATTAATGAAGTGGTGCTTAAGAAATGAATGCAAAGCTTCCAATTCTCTAAATCTAGTCATATAAAGCCAAATTAATATCTCCTTATTTCCAAGGTTTGTAGAATAACTCGAAAGTATTCTTTACTGGTGAACTGAGATAATTGTAAGTATAGGTAGAAATACTTAAGAGAATTTCCAAAGTGGGTAAGATATATAGGAGCATAAACTCCCTTTAAAAAATAGTGGTCCTTGCTTATCTAAATTGGCTATTAGAGTAAACAGCTGTATTACTGTCCGGAAGTGTTTAAATTGTTGTATTTTTTTAATTAAAAATGCACTATGTCAAAACTGAAATACAGAGATTCAATTAATGTTTCTTTGCTAAAGGCATCATAGAATTAAAATGGAATTTCTGCCAGAATGCCTTACTACAAATGAGCCTCCTCTGAGGCAGGGAGGCCAACGTTCAAGTACTATACCAATCAAAGTGTAATTATTTCTGCGAAGTTAAGCAAGAGAGACTGACGAGTTAGTGATGGAACCTGTTGCAGATCTGAGGCTTTAAGGTCAGGTATCTCATGTCAGGTATAAATGAGCCACTAGGAACTTGGGTGGATTGGAGTGGGTTTTTCTTGCTCTCTGAGTTCATGCTAATGTGAACCAGTTACCACAGTTCAATTGGTGAGATTTTCTCAACAATATTTTGAATAGAAATACCTTAACATTTACACTTCTCTAGGGGTAGTGGGAGGCCCAAAAGACTTGGGAAGAAAGTTTTGGAAAATAACTTAAAACATGTTGCAGTTCTAAAGTAAGAAAAGTGAAATAATCCAAGAATTTTGAGTTGACCCGAATGTCAGATATGGGAAGTTCAATGGGTGCAGTTCAACCTGGATTATACAAATTTCTTTATTTCACTATTGTACTTAGTACATTTTTGCTTCAGTTTTTCTAGTACATGAAGAGTTTTCCCTTTTCAAGCTAGGAATAACTTAACAGAGTTGAGGAACAGTGGGGCCAGGACCTCACTGGATATGACTTGGTGTGACTCCATGGGTTTTGGTCCAGCTGAGATTTTGGTATTCACCTGGATAGTTGACTTTGTTATTACGATACAGTACTGACCTCTTTATCATTTCTTTTCTTTTCTAGTTTGGTCTCTGGGCTGCCTGGCTGACCTGGCTGGGAATTACCATTCTGGCTTTCCTGAAGGTTTATCACAACTACAGACAGGAGGACCTGCTAGATAGCCTGATCCATGAGAAGGAGCTGTTGCTAGGAAGATCCTCTTCACGAACCTCTTTGCAAGATGAGAAAAGTGGCATGATCTAAAGTGTAAGCAAATTTCCAGGGCAGGATCTAGACTTTATTAATCAGTAGTGTGAGCTGAAGTTGAGTCAGGGTATTGAGTGTGTGAGATCTTTTCTTTCCTGAAAGGACATGTACTTGTGAATCACCTACTTCTTCCATGAGAAATTGTTGGCAGAAATCCTTATATTAGTATACAGAGAATAAACAGCCCCATGTGCCATTGACACAGTAAACTTTCTGTCCTGTTCAGGCACAATCTGTAACCTGTTCCTTCTAGCAGAGCTCCTACATGCTATCATTGGCTTTTGGGGAAGGGGCCATTTTTGAGGACTGTGCTGGCAAGACCAGGCTACAGAGTCTAGGCTATTTCTTCAAACTATTCTGCAACAACAGTTGTAACTGGGGCTGTGTCCAGTCCCTCTTCTCTCCGTCTCCTCCCTTCTGTTAGTAAAGTTGCCCCTATTATCACTTTATTCTGGGTAATTGCAGCTCTGGTCCAGGTACAGACTCTTGCTGTCTCTGCTTTTGCTATGTGTGGACGCAATGCTGACAAACCTGTTGCTCCTGCTCTGATTTAGAGTTTATTTAGAAGAGAGACCTGTGTTCCAGACTTGATATTTAATATTGGACAGTGTATGAATTTCATGAAACTGCTATAGTATCACATTATCTGTAAAAAGCTGTGTATCACTTGGAAGGATGGTGGAGAAATTTTGTGGCTTTGTTTCTTAGATTTTGGCATGACCAACATTTATTAAGACTCCTGTAGCGTAGCTAGCCATTGCTGAAGCTTGCATACTAAGAAATTAGGCTGAATAGATAGTATTAATGCTTGTGCATTTATAAATGTAACTTGGTCCCTAACATTGTATATTATTCAGTTTTGAGTATAAGAATTTACTTGTGATATTTTTTTCATATAGGGTATGCAAAATTACTGTAAACATTTGCATTGTAGGTATCTCTATTTATCTATAAAAATAGCAAGGAGCTCGAACAGCTGAATTATTTTATAGGTAGTTCAGTGTTGAATGGGTCCATGCTCCCCGTTCACAGGCAGGAGTTCCAGGGCTGTGAAAAGAGAACAACTGTTATTTACACAAAGCTCACTAGTGGCTTCGTTGTTGCTTTCAGTTTTGCTTTGCCAGTGCTTCAACAAATAAGATGCATGATTGAGACAAGAAGTAGATCTGATAATTAAGAAGAGTCACTCATCTGAGCGTGGGATTTGCACGACAGAGAAGTAAAGTTGTACTAGAATTAGGCAGTTATCCCTGGGTACACATTACACAGAAGACCCTGATTCAGCAGAAAACTTAAGCAAGCAGTTGAGTTTAGGCTGAAGAAGATTTTTTTGGAGTACACCGACACTGTCTGTGGCAGCTGTGTTTGAGCTGAGACTGAATTTATTGCAACATGAGTGCAAACCATGCACAACTATATTGCCTGGTAAATAGGAAGGAGGGGAGAGAAGACAGAAGGCTTCTACCCCGTCAGAGCTCAAGCCTGGGGCTAGCACAACCATGCAGATTTACTGTTGTCTTCTGGGGACTATGTAATGCTTAAAGTTAAGTACTGGCTTAAGTGTTTTGGTTGAAACAGAATTTGAAGTCATTAAAAAAATCCTTGAATTAGTAAGTATTTTAGGGCATAAAACCTAACATTACGTTCAATAGCCAAATTTTTCTCATAGGTTTAGGAGAAAAAACCCTCCATGGGCTGTAAACAGTGAGCTGGCCCTGTGAACATCGCTTATAGCCCCAGCTGGCCACAGCTGTCTGTTTGTCAGCATGATTTCTGCCCACAAGGGAATGCAATTCCTTTGAAAGCTCTACAGCGGTGGCTTTTTTGTAGTTGTGAATTGACATCAGAGGAGGAATTCCTGAAGAGGGAATCAGAGATCAAGTTAATTAGTATCAATTTAATATTCAGATATCAGGATGGCTGGAGTGCCTTTTTTTATTCTGTTGATCCAATAAGAGAGACACACTTGTAGATATCTAAGCCCTTTGCCAGGGCATGACTTTCCATTCATACCCTGAAGAAGAGCCTGGGTCCTGAAAGTTAGCCTGCTTCCCGTGTTTCCTCAGTTGCTTCTCCAACTGCAAAAGACACTACTTGTCCTTCCAATCTCACTTTGAATTTAAGATTCAGCAGTGATATCTCTTCCCACAAATTACTTCAGTGCATGCCTTACTCCTCACATGGACCCATGCTACTGTTTTTTGTATTTTATGTATGTGCCAAATCAGGTTTAAGCTGAACTAACATGTGGGTTGGGACCATCGTTCCTGGTCTTGCCTGGGGGTTTGAAGAACCAAGAGGCATAAGATAGCAAGTGTTTCCTTCTCATCCTTGCTCTGAGATCCAGGGCTCAAGTCTCGTCTCTGTTTCTGAGAAGGAAGATGATGTTTCTCATCAGTGAGGTTGTCTGGAGCGCATGCTCTCTTCTACCTCTTTTTGGCTGTCTTGGGGTCTTTTCCTCCTTTCCACTTCCACGAGAAGCAACAAACACTGGTGCTGGGGTTTTTACTCTTGTTGACTTTTGTGGCTAGCATCTTCAGTAGCATTTGTCACATTGACACTGTCTCCCTGACACTATCTTCAATGTTCTGCAGCTCAATAGACAAAAAGTGGGATCTTTAAAGCACCTGGGGCAGCCAGGATCCCACCTCAAAGTAAAAGTTAGTAGGAATGAAACACCTTACTTCAGCCTTTGGAAAGTCCAGCTCAACACAAGTACATGCACAGACTCACCTGTTAACTTGGCATCAAGGCTTGGCCTCTCTCATTCATTTACCTGGGTGAATTCTTCTCACCCTAGTTGCATTTCAGTGCCCATGAATGAAGCATGTTGGCTGTTGGAGTTGGCACGTAAACTGAAAAGAGGCTGAGGCTCTTCTTTGACTGCCACATGCATCCCAATCTCTTTTCCTCAGCTTCCCTCACTTGACCAGGTGAGGTGAGGCTGGCACATGCTTGCAAGCATCAGTGATGCTGAAAAGCAAAGCTAGTTTTGAAGGGAGCCCTTAGGCAGGTGAGAAGGCAGAGCATGTAGTGAGAAGCTCCTGGCTGACTTGCAGGGAGACAGGGTATTGTGCAACACCCAGTTATTGGACCTGCTTGGGCTTTTTTATTTGCGTTTAGCTTTCTGCAACCTCTTCCAAAGCCTGGACACTCAGGCCAACCTGGTGATGCCAGGCTGAAAATGTGTTAGGAGTATTATTTATACACACATACATACATGCATGCATGCATACCTATGCTCTCTCTTTCACACGTCTCTCTTTTGTACATTTCTGACCTCTGCTTTTAGTCATCCATTGCCAACCAGCACAGAGTGTGGCTGCAGTAGGAGTTTCTCCGAGTCAAATGTTGCATTTCTGTGATACTCCAATGCCTTCTTTAATCTGCTATCTCCAAAAGTAGGCTGCTGGGAACACTCTAGCAAGAGGTATATTCAAAGAACTAGAATCCTGTGTGGTATTTATACTTGCATTTATTTATTGTCACATGGTGGAAGAGGAAAAGCTTTGCTGCCTTTGCCCATGCAGCCCCTGCTGTTGCTGCCCATCGCAAAGCTGTGAGCCATTCTAGGGAATGTGGGATGCAGTTGCTTAGTCACTGTGTTCCCTGTGATGCTAAAATCCTGGTCAAAAAGTCTTTGTTTTGGTCTGTGAAAATTGCTAGTAATGTCAGGAGAGCCTTACTTGGTCAAACGCAACTAGATGCTGCTTTCCGAGGCACGGGGGTGTTGCTACACAATTATTCTGTTATATCGAATATATTCCCCACGTCCTGGCTACCATCTGTGGTTAATTTCCCTGCGAATTCCCTGCCAGCAGTCTACATTGGATTAGAAAAATCTGAGCTAACAAGTGTCGTCTGAGCTTTTAGATCAATGCTGTTTATTATTTTCATAATGAAGAAACAATTGAAGCCATTTTTTGGAATAGAATTTCCTCATAAGGGCACAAATGCTCCTAAGTTCTTATTCCACTAATTCATGAGGCATATTTCAGCTGTGAACTTTCAATAAGAATCGCAAAAATAAGAGCATGATGATTTACTTTTAAACCTGAAGCACATGTGTGCGCTATGGCAATGTTTCTACGGTCCCTTAGAAAACTGGTTGTTATAATAACTAGTGATGGATGCTTGAGCAGATAAACTGTCATGAAAGCATTCAGCATCAGGGAGGTGGTGTATGTGTGTATGTACAATGTACACAGACATATTCCACTGCTCTTCTGTGAGACAGATATAAGTTCTTCTCTTAACAGGCAGCTTAGGTTGGAATAGTTGTAAGGTTGCCTTAACTTTCTACACTGCCTTTTTTTTTTACTTAGTATTGGGATCTGTGCAATGATACATAGGTTCGGATACCCAGAGGTGGATGTGGCTGTGATGCGAGTTGGAAAGTGCTGGCCAGTGCACAACCTCCAAAGGGCTGAGATGGGTTTCTAATGGGGGTTTGCAGGTGTTTTAACTCCTCCTCTATGTCTGTGTAATGTCCTGATGTTAGCCAGTATTAGTTCTGTTAGGAACAGAGGGTCACATTTACCTTCAAGGCCTTCTCTCACTGACACAAAACACTGTTGATTTAACCTTTGTAATGTTCAGGATGGAAGCAGAGCTGCAAGGAACAGGAGCACACACTTTACAGTTATATTGCATGAGCAAGGAGTAGTTTTCCCCTGATTCAGGAATTCTGCACTTAAATGACCAGTGACCCTGGCATGAACATGGTCCTGTTATTAATTCATTTAGAATACAGACTTGCAGGTGAAAAACAGAACATATTTTGCTAGTGGTGTCAATCCTTTGGTTGCCAAACCATACTCTTCTACAACACAGTACAATATTCTGGCTCAAAAAGACAGCATGTCTTTTTATAAACAGTCATTTATTTGCTGCTAGAAAAAAAAAGGTGACAAAGGGCAAAAAGGATGTATTTATCATACAGTTATTTAGTAGCAGGTGTTTAGATGGGAGAATTCATTTGAAAGCTTATTTATTGT